GCCGGGGCGGCCTGCGGAGCCTGGCCTGAGGCCTCTGGCTGCGCAGCGGGGACTGGAAGCCGTGCCCGGCTGTGCCGCGTCACCTGTGCCCTCCACCGGCACGCTGGGCCGGGAAGATGTGGAAGAAGAGCCCAGCCAGTGCCCGGCAGCAGCGTGGTGCTGGGGACGTCACTTTTCTCGGGAGCTGGAGGAAGCCGTGAGGGGGTTGAAGTGCCTTGAGGGCGCTCTTAGAGCCGTTCTCTGAGCTGATTTCTGAAATGGGGACGGTCTCACCACTGTTGTACTGCTTTGGGTGGGTTTTTTTTATCCACAAAGAGTGAGAGGGAAGTGGTGGAGGCTGTGGTGGCACTGAGCAGTGCGGCCGCGTGGCAGAGCAGCAACCAGATGGGACTTGTTTTGAGAGGAGGGGACTCGTCCCCCAGCAGACCTGCGCCTCGCTGTGACCACTGTGGTGGGTTTGCCCTTCTCAGAGTAGCACCTCTTGCTCTACACTGCCTGCCTGCCTGTGGGAATAGAGTGTGAAGCTGCAGCATCTTTTGAATAATCCAGTTTTATTTGTGGCACGCTCCGGTGTGATTTAATGACCCTTCCTCGGTAAATGGCCAGCCTGTGAAGGCAGACTAGGGAGCGCGTTGCTCATCATTCCTGATGTCAGCTGGAACATCGCAGAGTTGCTGCGAAACTGCGACAGCACATTCATTTTTCCTAAGTACCGTTTGCCTGGGAGATGTCGCCTGCAAGAAAGGCGAGCACGGGATGGCCAGAGGATGACACCAGAGAGGGCTGAGCTGATAAACAAAAGAAACAGAATAGCTGGCTGTGCTGGCGTGACCAACTCAGAGGCTCGTTTGCATGAGGAGCGGGTCGAGTTGGGAATAACAGCTGCAATAATCAACACAGCTTTTCCATATCTCCCTGGGGAAGGTGGGCGAGGGTGGTCACCAAGGGAGCCTGACTCCTGGGAGGGAAGGGGACGAGTTTTCCGTATGGACTGGCTGTGGCCAGGGGGAGGTGGAGTTTCCCTGTGTCCTGCAGGAAAGTGCTGCTTCCATAATAAACCTCAGGGAATGCTGATGGGCTGCAAGCACAGCTTGGGGCTGGAGCTGGGTGCGTTTCCAACCTGCTGAGAGGAACCTGCAGGACAGCATTACCCAGACTCAAAGTTCAGCAGCTGTTGTCTCTGATATAGAAAAGTTTTGCAGTCTTTTCCCACTAAGGCAAGACGTCCTGGCATTATGGGCTGTGGCCCATGCGTGCGGGTGATGCAGAGCCTCCCCATTTCAGAAAGCACAGGGTGGGTGACTCCTGGTCCCACGGCTGCTCCGAGAACCAGGAGGCCCTCCCGTTGATTGAGGGCTGCCTGTCTCCCCACACGCAGCCCACTGGTGTCCCTGGGTGGCAAAGAGAAATACATACGCAGCCCCAGGACGGGGGAGCAGAGCTGAAGGAGCCCCGTCAGCAAGCCGACAGTGAGGTGAGGCAGGGCTGGTCTCCAGCAGACCCGTTTTGGGATGCTGGGCCCCACAGCAGGGGTGGTGGCACATGAAGGGTGGCTCGTTCCCCTGCACTACGTCAGGGAGCCCGTCGGCACAAGTCTGTGATGTGATCGGTCACCTTCCAGGTTTTCCACACCATCTGTGCAACTCCGCTATTGTGTTTATACACCCGGAGCTGTTAAATGGTTAGACCGTTGGCCAGGAGCACGCTGCTGGCAGCACTTGACGTGGCGCGTGCAAACCAGCAATTTCAGTGGAATTTCAGGTGTCACAGAGTCGTGAGACATCCATGTTTATCCTTTACCTGGCCTGTGCCAGTTGGGCTGGAGGATAAGTGGTCCCAGAAACCAGAGCAGGTCAATAGATCTGTCTTGTTCCAAAATCCTTGTTAACTGGAACCAGTTGGAAACTTGCTGTAATGGAAATTTCTGTTGCTTATAATTTTTTTAACAGAATGCAGTTGATCATATTCTTTGCTTTAGTCTGTCTCCACTTTTGGTTTCTTGTCCTTTGTTTTTTGTGTATTCCAACTTTGCAGGGTCAGAATTAGGCTCAGTTATGTAAAAGCACCTCTCTTGGGCAGCGCTGCAGTCTCTGAGTGCCGAAGCAGTGTTGTTTGAAGATTTGATTTTCTGCTCTGAAGGTTCACATAAGAAGAGTGTCCTAAAGACAGGCTCAGTCTGTGTATGCCACCCTTCCAAGATAGCTTGTTTTGTGCTGTTCAATTAGTGGCATTTTCACGGAATCTAGTCTGGAGCTTGTCCCCCCTAGTGTGGCACGCCTGTGGGCTGGGCTGCTACGAGAGCTGTGCTTCTGTCTGCTGTGCCATGTCCCTCCACTCCAGCTGGATATATTACTGAGTGTATTTGTGTAGCACCTCATATAATTTCTTTTTGTTTGTTTGTTTGTTTGTTTTCCAGAACACTATAATTATACATCTTCAAATGTAAATGCTGGCTTGCCTCTAAATGTGGCACATTCCTCATTGTCAACTCCATGTCATGGCCTTCAGACATCAAATCCTGTCATTTCAGTCGTCCCATCGGCAAACCATCCTTCTGGATATGGAGGACACATCGACAGCGGGGCCTCTGAATATTACCTGCCACCGAACATCAGACCTAATGGAGCTCCAGCCCTGGAGAGCCCTAGAATTGAGATCACATCTTACATGGGACTTCATCATAACAACAACCAGTTTTTCCACGATGAGGTTGAGGAGGCCATCCCAAACGCCAAGCGGTCGCCTTCCACTGCCACTTTGAACTTACCAAACATCGAAGCGTACAGAGACCCATCCTGCCTGAGTCCAGCGAGTAGCTTGTCTTCCAGAAGTTGCAACTCTGAAGCGTCTTCCTATGAGTCCAACTACTCATATCCATATACTTCACCCCAGACTTCTCCGTGGCAGTCCCCGTGTGTCTCTCCGAAGACCACCGACACGGAGGAGGGCTACCAGCGCAGCATGGTGGCCTGCACTTTGCTCAGTTCCCCGAGGCATTCTCCATCGGCGTCTCCCAGGACAAGCATCACGGAGGAGAACTGGCTGGGGGCTCGTAACTCCAGGCCTCCATCTCCCTGCAACAAGAGAAAGTACAACCTCAACGGCCGGCAGACCTCCTACTCCCCACACCACTCCCCCACGCCTTCTCCGCAAAACTCGCCACGGGTGAGCGTCACGGATGAGACGTGGCTAGGGAACACCAACCAGTACACCAGCTCTGCTATCGTCGCCGCCATCAACGCCCTCACCACCGACAGCACTATCGATATGAACGATGGGATTCCCATCAAGTCGAGGAAGACTGCCATCGACCACACCCCATCCATGACTCTCAAAACTGAACCAGCTGGCGAGGATCACGGGACCATATCGCCAACTGCTGATTTGTCACCGGAAGACTTCTCCAGCTTTCAGCACATCAGGAAAGGAAACTTCTGCGAGCAGTACCTCTCCGTGCCACAGCATCCCTACCAGTGGGCCAAACCAAAGTCTCTGTCTCAGACATCCTACATGAGGTAAGGAACCCCGACTTAGAGGGAAATCCTGATAACATCTTTACTGCATGCTGGTTTTTTCCTCCTTGCCCTTCCTATCCCTGCTGCCTGCCAAGTCTCCCCATCCACTTATTCCACTTAGCCGTATCTTGTGATGCTGTCCCTTTCGTTGGTGTGGCATGACCATGAGTAAAGCCTTGAAGGATCAAAGAGGAGCTGGCCATTTGTGGGGTGTAACTGGTTACCTGCTTTCTGGGAAAGGAGCCTCAGCCCGGGCAGCCTGGAAGTGGGGATTCAGAAGCAGAAGCTTGATTCAGAAGCTTGACCAGACTCCTGCTGCTGGTCAAGCAGCAGGACAATTTGGTGACATCAAACCGGTGGCTTTACTTAAACAGTTCATCGTGTCTTAGTATGTTTTTTATTGCAGAACAAGGAGATAGTCTCGTTGTTGTGGCTGTTGCAGGGCCTTTTACGCTTTATAGACAGTGAATACAAACAGAATAGGAATAGGATTCTTTTGTGCATTATTCCAAGTTTTACTTCACTTCATCTGA